AAAAGTGATAATGAAACTGACTGATGTCGACCTCAATTAAAAATCTGAAAGTATTCTTCATCCTGATCAGGTAATCAGACGAACAAATGAAGTTCATAAAATTGAATGCATTCAATCCGCATTTGACATTGCTGAGATGATTTCTGCTGCAGTGCAGAACATGAAAATTCGAATTTAGAGCATTGTGGGCCAGGTTCTTGAAATTACGGTTTCATGAAGCTTGTAATACGCTGATTATATGGTCAGAATCAGTGAATGCACGGTCAAATATTTTGGTGAATTCCCAGCAAGTTGAAAATTCCGAAACTTTGAAATAGTCACATCACAAAATCTTGCTTATTGTATCTAGTTCATCTTGTCTTGAATGCACGCTTTCAAGTATTCCTTCGAGAAAGACATGTGCCAGCTGAGGGCCTCGTGTCCGCTCAAGAAGCATGCGAGTGCAGTTTGGAGAAATGAAACTCAAATCGTTTAAGGGCAATGAAAATAATGTTCAAGGCATATTGAATATTAGAAATGTTTTTGTTTACTGCAAGCTAATTCTTTGCTTCGATGGTTTAGGGTACTTTTCAGGAGTAATGCTGCATCTGCTACTTGTATGTTAGAATGGTAGTCTTTCCCAGTGTATCACCCACNCCCTTAGCAAAATGTGATAAATGAGTTAGTGCACACACACGTCGTGCTCCTGGATCATTTCTGAGTGGCTTTAGAGTTTATTTTGTGCATTTTCAGTTAGCAGACGGAACACATCTGGCGTGTTTTCTTCAATTCTCATGATGCAATAAATTTATATTCGAGTTGTTGAACGTAGTAGATGCATGATGAATAGCGTTAATGCTCACTCCTCAGTGAATAAAGTCAGCTCAGTGAAATAGATGTGACGAAATGGATGACTTTTATCTTCGACTGCTGATCGTTTAGTCGTTGTTGATTGAATCTACTGATAGTTTTAGAAATTGCTGTAACTGAATGATGTAACTGTGTGAACTTTGCTTGAATGCACCTCTCTTCTACTCCCTATCAAAGCAGTCAATGAATGATGCTTCAAGCAATTTGGTGTCTATAATTTGGTGCACAAAAATATGGCGTAAAATTTATGACGTCCGATTCGACCCTACTCAGTCTGATATGTCCGAATATATTGGATTAAAACACCAACCACGAAAAGATTATTGTGCCGTCCATATCTGTCGGTATGAACAATAATTCGGAGAAATATTTTGGTCTCTTTTGAATACTACGATTTCCACTGAGTCCATGACTTTTTGCGTTTGTTTGCAGTGTGCTGTAATTTATCATGGTCACTAAGCCATCAATTATAAGCACCTCATTGCTTGAAGTATCGTCCTTTCGAATTCCATCCGCTTCTTATCAAATGAATTGAATTTTCCAGGTTCGTTCGTCAATGATCAATTGCGATAATGTGGACACGCCTAAATTAGACATTCTCTTCGCTACTGACGATGTTGTATGTTGATCTTTTCGCATTCAGATGAGCTACTCAAGAAAAGTAGTTTCTTGCTGGGAACTTGTTGAAAAATTAAGGCGTTAATGAAATCCAGTTAAATTTATCGCTTATTTGAGCAGTATATCGGCTAAGCCATTATGAGTTTTTGAATCTTTTTCGCCGTTTTCAGCGGCTTGACTGAATTTCTCGTATAGACATTACAATAGACTATTCCTCGAAACTGTAAAATAACTCATTGAACGCTTATTTTTCAGTCTCGAGTGTACAGGCAGTCGAATACATATTTCTCGGAATGCATCCACGACGCATTATTTACGTTAGTTCAGTCATTTGTTGTCGGTCACCTAGTTGTTTCCTCAGTTGCTGTGGCGCAGTTCCGTCGATTCTACAGATGGACGCTTTTTCTAACGAGAACATTTCAGAGTTGGAATGGCAGTTGCCAAGGGAGACGAGACGAGAATTCGACCTCGAGATCCGCTCGATTTCAGGAGTGTGGAAATGTCCTGGTTTGATGGTGCTAACTGGCGAATGCATCCTCAGTGGTATTCTTCTTTTTACAAGATTTTATCACAGAGTGGATGCGAGAGTCTTTCACTGAGATACAATGAAGCGATGTAATTGCAGGCGATATTGTCTACTGAACGACAGCGATTCGATGATGACACCCGAAGAAGCGTTCAAAGTTTACGCGAAACAAATGCGTTCAACCGGTAAACTGCCAAAATTATGTGAGCCGCGGAAATCTTTAGTCGAAAGATTTCTATTCGATATGAAAGTCACGAATGGACTCACGAATATGTGGGATGTTAGTTGGAAAACGAATAAAAGGTTTGTTAACGGGACAAATCGAAATCCTTACTCATTCGAAGATGTTTTCAAACGCAATTCTAAAAAGTATCGAAATGCTATTTAATTATAACAC